TCAGCTAGACAACAGCAAGTGATTTTGATAAAGACATTAGTAAAATAAATAAAAACAAAATATAAATTTTGAAAATATTAAATTATTAGGTTTGTTTTGAGTACTATATATTTGGTCTGTTTGGCACAGACCTGGGCGATTTCCATTAATTTTGCATTAACATTAAATTAAAAAAAAATTAATTTAATGTAAAAAATATTGCATTAACATTAAATTTGTAGAATTTAATGCATTAAATTTCCATTAACATTAAATATTTTTGAATTTAATGCATTAATTTTACATTAACATTAAATATTTTTGAAATTAATGCATTAATTTTGCATTAACATTAAATATATCTGAATTTAGTACATTAATTTTACATTAACATTAAATGAGCAATAAAATTAATGCATTAATATTCCATTAACATTAATATATATAAAAATTGATAAACATAAATAAAAATACAGCACAAAAGACCTCGATCTAACTAAATACAACTAAAATTAAATAGGTTAAAGTCCTTTCTAATAACTCCTATATTCCATTCAAACTTGTGTGTTTTAAATATGATATTTATATAAGATTCCACATACAAAATAAACTGAAAAAGGAATATCTGGGAAGTGATACTATTCTTCTAATATGTATTATCGAGTATAGGACTTATTAGAAAGGACTTTAACAAATAAACTACAAAAGGAATATCTGGGAAGTCATACTATTCTTCTAATATGTATTATCGAGTATAGGACTTATTAGAAAGGACTTTAACACATTAAATTTTACTTGAATTTAGTTAGACCGAGCTCTTTAGCGCTGTATTCTTATTTTATAAATTATTTTATACATTAATGTTAATGGAAAATTAATGCATTAAATTCAAAAATATTTAATGTTAATGCAAAATTAATGCATTAATTTCACAAATATTTAATGTTAATGTAAAATTAATGCATTAAATTTAAAAATATTTAATATTAATGCAAATTTAATGCATTAAATGTACCCATGTTAATGTTAATGCAATAAACTTGCATTAACATTATTTTTTTTTAATGTAGAAAAAATTGTTAATGCATTAACATATTTAATGCATTTATCCCAGGTCTGGTTTGGCAAATCTTTATTTAATAAAAGAAAAATATAAATAATATTTATTTAGATGATATCACAAGAGTTGGTATAGTGATCAAGATAATCTGATGGGTCAAAGTTTCTATACTCTAGTCTATAGTCTAGTCTATAGTCTAGTCTATAGTCTAGTCTATAGTCTAGTCTATAGTCGGGTCTATAGTCTAGTCTATAGTCTAGTCTATAGTCTAGTCTATAGTCTAGTCTATAGTCTAGTCTATAGTCTAGTCTATAGTCTAGTCTATAGTCTAGTCTATAGTCTAGTCTATAGTCTAGTATATAGTCTAGTATATAGTCTAGTATATAGTCTAGTCTATAGTCTAGTCTATAGTCTGGTCTATAGTCTAGTCTATAGTCTAGTCTATAGTCTAGTCTATAGTCTGGTCTATAGTCTAGTCTATAGTCTAGTCTATAGTCTAGTCTATAGTCTAGTCTATAGTCTAGTCTATAGTCTAGTCTATAGTCTATAGTCTAGTCTATAGTCTAGTCTATAGTCTAGTCTATAGTCTAGTCTATAGTCTAGTCTATAGTCTAGTCTATAGTCTAGTCTATAGTCTAGTCTATAGTCTAGTCTATGTCTAGTCTATAGTCTAGTCTATAGTCTAGTCTATAAATCTAGTCTATAATCTAGTCTATAGTCTAGTCTATAGTCTAGTCTATAGTCAAGTCTATAGTCGTAGTCCTAGTCTATAGTCTAGTCTATAGTCTAGTCTATATTCTAGTCTAGTCTATAGTCTAGTCTATAGTCTAGGCTATAATCCAGTCGATAGTCTAGTATTTAATCTAGTCTATAGTCTGTTCTTTAGTCAGTCCTATGATCTAGCCTTTAGTCTCACTTACCCAAATTTTACCACATGTCTTTTTCCAAATCATCAACAAAGTCATCTAAAGTCTTGTTATGATAATTTATCATCATCATCTACATCATACATGTGTGGCGCTGTGGTTCGACTTGTAACAGCGCTGATGCCGGGTACTGTGTGCCATCCACTGCATTGCGTGTGTCTTTTGGCCTGTTGCTACCATTAGTAGTGGTGTTGTTGTAGTTGTTGCTGTTTAAATAAATAGTATCTATCAGATGTGTAAGTGCAGCCAACAACATTTTGTATTTAGTTTATCATCGTTTTTGTTGTTGTGGTTTTGACTACTTGTTGTATCTGTTGATTAGTTGCAAAATGGTCTGTGACACAATGTGACATAATGAAGAAAAATCTTCCTCTTTGTACATATCAAATACACCAGACACTCACAGACATACGCACACAAATCATACATACATACATACATTGTGCCACATATAGCACATAAACTTGTCTATTTATTTTCAAATGCTACGTACTATTAACAACAACAAAATGTATCTGTATTTTTCTTTACTTACAAACAGTTGTAATGCGTTTAAGCTTAGTTAGTTAAATTTATTAGTTAATATGTATATCTATAGATGTACATACATACATATGTATGTTTCTATGAATGTTTGTACGAAAGATCAACTAACTATAAGCACGAGCAGTCAACAGTTTTTGACTAATCATTAAGAGAGAAAAAAATTTACAAAAATGTTGTTAAATAAAATAAATACTTGTATATTGAAAACTAAAAAAAAGTAATAACATGTCACATAAATTTTTAGTGACTTAATTTGTATTAATAAGTTTTAATTTTAAATTGATTTAACGGTCCGTTGATGATTTGTAAAATTACAAACGTTTCAACGTCTTAGTTTAACTATGTAGATAATATCACTTGATTTTGATTTTATTCAAGTCTAAGATTTAAATTATTTTTTTTAATTCCCTCAATGACAGTTTAAAATTAATATAAATTAATAAAATATTTGAATTTAAATTTATTTTATTAAGAGTTTTATGTGTAAGCATTCATACATATAAAGATTAATGTGAATATTTTAACTTGGCCTGTTTTGGATGGTTAATCAGGCCTTATTAGTCGTCCATTTACATAACAAAGATAAAGTTAAATCTGATGTCTGTTTATAAATTGATCGTTTGCTATATCAATACTATATGACTGATCAGTTCTAGTTTCAGTATTGGTTTAGTTCTATTTCAGTTCTAGTTCAGTATTGGTTTAGTTCCACTTCAGTTCTAGCTCAGTTCTAGTTCAGTTCTAGTTCAGTGTTAGTTCAGTTCTAGTTCAGTCAAGTTCAGTTCTAGTTCAGTTCTAGTTCAGTTCTAGTTCAGTTCTAGTAGTTCAGTTTCTAGTTCAGTTCTAGTTCAGTTCTAGTTCAGTTCTAGTTCAGTTCTAGTTCAGTTCTAGTTCATTCTAGTTCAGTTCTAGTTCAGTTCTAGTTCAGTTTAGTTCAGTTCTAGTTCATTCTAGTTCAGTTCTAGTTCAGTTCTAGTTCAGTTCTAGTTCAGTTCTAGTTCAGTTCTAGTTCAGTTTCTAGTTCAGTTCTAGTTCAGTTCTAGTTCAGTTCTAGTTCAGTCTCAGTTCTAGTTCAGTTCTAGTTCAGTTCTAGTTCAGTTCTAGTTCAGTTCTAGTTCAGTTCTAGTTCAGTTCTAGTTCAGTTCTAGTTCAGTTCTAGTTCAGTTCTAGTTCAGTTCTAGTTCAGTTCTAGTTCAGTTCTAGTTCAGTTCTAGTTCAGTTCTAGTTCAGTTCTAGTTCAGTTCTAGTTCAGTTCTAGTTCAGTTCTAGTTCAGTTCTAGTTCAGTTCTAGTTCAGTTCTAGTTCAGTTCTAGTTCAGTTCTAGTTCAGTTCTAGTTCAGTTCTAGTTCAGTTCTAGTTCAGTTCTAGTTCAGTTCTAGTTCAGTTCTAGTTCAGTTCTAGTTCAGTTCTAGTTCAGTTCTAGTTCAGTTCTAGTTCAGTTCTAGTTCAGTTCTAGTTTCTAGTTCAGTTCTAGTTCAGTTCTAGTTCAGTTCTAGTTCAGTTCTAGTTCAGTTCTAGTTCAGTTCTAGTTCAGTTCTAGTCAGTTCTAGTTCAGTTCTAGTTCAGTTCTAGTTCAGTTCTAGTTCAGTTCTAGTTCAGTTCTAGTTCTTCTAGTTCTAGTTCAGTTCTAGTTCAGTTCTAGTTCAGTTCTAGTTCAGTTCTAGTTCAGTTCTAGTTCAGTTCTCCGAAATATCTGCAATATGCCAACCTGAAACTTTACCTTCTGGATCCTAAATATATTTCATGTAAGATTGCTGTGCATTTGTCATAAATCAGTTAATCTAACAAAACTGGCGCCTTTTCAAATGAAAAATAAAATTAAAACTTTCTCTTTTAAAACAATTTTTAATGATTTCTGACATGCTTGACACCTTACAATAAAACTTAATTAAATATCGATTAAATTTTAATGAAAATCACACAAAATCAACCAAAAAATCTCACTTGTCTTCAAAATTAAGTGCCAACGACAAAAAAAATTCGACAAACTCGTCGTCATTTGATTTGGAAGCGTTTCAGTGATTTAATCAAAATATTTTAAAAATATTCATGATTATTTACTGTGTTGATTTGATTGAGCGATCGCATCAAATAAAGACGGCAGAAAATATTTTTATCAAATTAAAAAACGATTAAAATGAAACAACTTAATTAAATGGACTTTCAAATCGTGTTTGTTGATATTTTATTATAAATAAATATTTCTTTTTTTTGTATTTTTTTTTTTAATTTAATCATTAAAACTAAAAATATAAATTCAACTATTAACTAACACTAACAACAACCACCATCAAAATATGCATTGGTACTACAAACACATATAAATATTTTGTTGTTTTTGTTTTAATAAATAATAAATTGTTTTTTTTTTAATATTTTTTAAATTGATTAAGAATAATGTAGCAGTATGTAATGATGTAAAAAATAAAACTATAAAATTAGACAGAGAGAATGTGTTTAAAAAAGAAGACAAAGAAGAGGGAAGAGAGAGGTAGCCAAATATATTAAAGAAAAGTCTATTAATGCAAGTAATCGAGTTAATTAACTCTTTTTGTATTAGCAGTTAATGATCATTAAATTGTTGTAATAAAACAGACAAACAGCATGTTTTGTTGTATAAAACTTTTGAGCATTTTTATATAGTGTTGTTGCTGTTTTTTTAAGATTTTTGAAGATTAGCAAGTTCAATAGAGTCACCACAACTGTAAAGAAATAAAAAAAATGTGTAAGAGAGAGGGAGAGTGAAAATGTAACATCATTAAGATAAAGTTTAAAAAATCGTTAGTAATGTAATACAAAGCTAATAAACGAATGACAATGATTCATATAATCAATAAATAAATGATTGTTGATTGCTGATTGTAATCAATAATAATTATTGTTAACACCTTTTGTTGTTGTTTCACATTGTTTGTAAAACTATAAAATTTGAGTAAATCAACCATTAAATGGGATCGATACTATTTTATAATTAGGTAACAATTATTATTGCTTTTTGTATGATTATGATCATGATGTTGATAATGATTATTATGATAATGATGTTGTGAAACTGAACTCAATTGCAAATGAATATAAAACTGTTAATTGTTTTCAAACATTTTAACCTTCAGCTTTGAGGGTTAACTTTTACTCACTTTATACATATCATGGCTGTGGTTTCATTGTCCTTGTTATGTTTGTCCACTGTTGTTAAACTGTTCAATTTATTACCATTATTTTCCTGCGTTGACAAAGAATTTGTTGTTGGTATTTTACCGCTGCCTCCATTTATATTTAGCAAATGTTTTGGCAACTGATTTGAGGAATCTCCTCGCTGGTATAAAGACGTGTGACGATTACTCATGGTGGACTGCTGTTAATTTGGTAAAAAATGGAATCAAAATTTAGAATGGTCAGAATAGAAATTGTTATCAAAGGATTCAGTTCTGTTCTAGTCCTGTTCTATTTCTGGTCTAGTTCTGTTTTAGTTCTGTTTTAGTTCTGTTCTAGTTCTGTTCTAGTTCTGTTCTAGTTCTGTTCTAGTTCTGTTCTAGTTCTGTTCTAGTTCTGTTCTAGTTCTGTTCTAGTTCTGTTCTAGTTCTAGTTCTGTTCTAGTTCTGTTCTAGTTCTGTTCTAGTTCTGTTCTAGTTCTGTTCTAGTTCTGTTCTAGTTCTGTTCTAGTTCTGTTCTAGTTCTGTTCTAGTTCTGTTCTAGTTCTGTTCTAGTTCTGTTCTAGTTCTGTTCTAGTTCTGTTCTAGTTCTGTTCTAGTTCTGTTCTAGTTCTGTTCTAGTTCTGTTCTAGTTCTGTTCTAGTTCTGTTCTAGTTCTGTTCTAGTTCTGTTCTAGTTCTGTTCTAGTTCTGTTCTAGTTCTGTTCTAGTTCTGTTCTAGTTCTGTTCTAGTTCTGTTCTAGTTCTGTTCTAGTTCTGTTCTAGTTCTGCTCTAGTTCTGTTCTAGTTCTGTTCTAGTTCTGTTCTAGTTCTGTTCTAGTTCTGTTCTAATTCTGTTCTAGTTCTGTTCTAGTTCAAGTTCACTTACCGTATGATTATGACTTATCCGTCCCCGTATATTAAATGCCCCATAGACAATGGGATTCATGCATGAATTGGTGCAGGCAAATATAAACAATCCCTTGCGTATCAAAGAACTGACCTCATCCACTGATGATTTGTCTATCCAGTACCACATACAGATGATATAATAAGGAGTCCAGCATATAATGAAAACAATAACAATAGTGATGGTCATTTTTAAAGTTCTCTTTTTGGCACGACTCAAAACATCATCATTGGAACGACGAAACGTTCTGAAATTAAAAAGAAAAATAAAGAAATGAAAAGATTTTTAACTATTTCACACAAATATCATACACAATCCCCCCAAAATAAAAATGTTCACTTGTCACACCAGAGGAACCTGCACACAAACAATCAAACATTCCCCATACTGAACATTCACGAAAGTGCAGATTCTTCTGGGTGGTTTGGGGTGTAACATGAGGTCTTCACAAAACATAGAAGATAGAAAAATAACTCACCAATGCCTTTAACTATACGCTGACTTTTGCGATAAATTTCCAAGTAGATTGCCCCATAGCAATAGATAAAAGTGATCAATGGACAGGCATACATGGCGCACATGTTGGCAATGTTATAGAATAATTTGTGAAATTCACTGGCAAATGAATGAAATGTTACACACTGATAATAGCCTTTAACTTTCGGATGCTCTTCCAAGTGGAATACATATGCCTGTAAACGATATGAAATGTTTAAGCAAATTAATCCAAATTTATAGACAAAGTTGGTTGGTTTGTTGCTCTAAGTGAGTGAAGAAACACTGACCCAAAACATGCAACCAACCAACTTGTCAATAAAACACACACGCATTATCCAAAAAAAAATACCTGTGGCAAACTACACAATATGGAACTACACCAGGCTATGACCAACATTATGCGTCCACGATTTGTAAGAGATTCAAAGGTTTAATTATAGCATAATATCTGCAAAAATAAATGTATTAGATGTTTTTAATAAAGTAATGTTTCTCTCTCTCTAACATTGCAAGCATTATGCTTCTGTTGCAAGATCAGCTTTCGTTTTAGCTTACCTGTCAATCGATATGCATACCAACACGAAACTCGATAGGTATAGACCAAATACTCTAAAGAAACTCATAAGACGACATACGAAATCTGTCGATTTCCATTGCACTGTATAGGCCCACGCAATCTCTAGCGGCATCAGTAGAAAAGTCACCATTAGATCGGCTATCGCCAAATGCATTAACATGATGTCAATCCGCGACGGACCACGTAAACGTCGTTTGGTTAATAGATACAACACGGTTGAGTTGCCAATTGCTGAGATCACAAAGAGAAAACTGTAACCAAAAAAATAACAGCATTGAAAATCAAGAAATATTTATTTAGTGTTACAAATAAAAATGTAGACAGGAATAAAATAGATGTAGACAGGAAGATAGAGAGAATGAGTGGTTTATTAAGATGTCTAAATGGGATTTATTTGTATTTTTATTATATTGGACAGACGTTTTAGAACTGAACTAGAACTGAACTAGAACTGAACTAGAACTGAACTAGAACTGAACTAAAACAGAACTAAACAGAACTAGAACTAAACTAGAACTAAACTAGAACTAAACTAGAACTGAACTAGAACTAAACTAGAACTAAACTAGAACTAAACTAGAAACTAGAACTAAACTAGAACTGAACTAGAACTGAACTAGAACTGAACTAGAACTGAACTAGAACTGAACTAGAACTGAACTAGAACTGAACTAGAACTGAACTAGAACTGAACTAGAACTGAACTAGAACTGAACTAGAACTGAACTAGAACTGAACTAGAACTGAACTAGAACTGAACTAGAACTGAACTAGAACTGAACTAGAACTGAACTAGAACTGAACTAGAACTGAACTAAACAGAACTAAAACAGAACTAGAACTAAACTAGAACTAAACTAGAACTAAACTAGAACTGAACTAGAACTAAACTAGAACTAAACTAGAACTAAACTAGAACTAAACTAGAACTAAACTAGAACTAAACT